GGAAGTCTCTGGGGCGGCAGAGGTGGCGCTGCTGCTAGCTGTGGCACGTGTGGCGCTCCTTTCGCTGCTGCCGGGGGTCTTGCAACAACCACGGGTGGCCCAACCGGTCTCGTCGTGGGGGGCGTCGTGGTTGCCGGAACCGGAAGAGGCACTGTCGTAGCCGTGGCCACAGCAGGTGGCGTAGCTGGGGCTGGGGCTGTCGGGACACTGTAGGGCACTGCGGAAGCCTGGGCCTGAAGCAGAGCTGTCGTCGCCAAAGCTGTTGCTGGCAACGCCTCTGTGAGCGGGGTCGGGGCCAACACTGCCGAAACCTGCTTGGGAACCGGTGCTGCCCCTGCTAAAGTGGCAGCTGGTGCTGGGGAACTGGGCGCCAAGAGCAACTTTGGAGCAGCTGCCACTGCTGGGCCTTCCGCTGGAGTCAACACGCCGGTCGATCTGCGCAGCACAGGTCTCGGCTCGGTGGGGACGGGCACGCTGGAGAGTTCTGCGCTCGCGGGAGTGGATCCCAGGGACTCGCTGCTCTTGTAACGCTGCCAGAAGTTGACATACTTTTTCTGCTCTTCCTCCGAGAGCTGAGGAATGACAAAGTCCTCTTCCTGCGGAGATCACAGGCCACATATAGAATGCATATATATATATATACACACACACACAAACACACACGTTTCGGAATATAACCCAGGCATGTACACACACATATCGTGCTCGCTCTACAGACACATGCATCGCTTGCTGAGGACTTGGGCCTTGAACGTCAGCTTCTTGGCCGCAGAGGCCCGCTTCCCGACTGTCATGTTCGCCTTCTCTGCGGCGGCAGAGGCATTCTCCGGCTCCAGAGTCTGAGGGCGGGATTGCAATTGTTGGTAACGAGGCTTCAGGTTTTAGTTGTCTGACACCCCCGACCCTCAGCACCCCAGTCGCTCCAGTCGTGTCGCTCTCAGAGAAGGACGCAGCATGAGTGACCGTCGAGGGGGCTCGAGTTATCGAGTCGAAGTCGACAGAGAGACTTTTCTTGACACCGTCGTCCTCGGCTTTGACCGAGCTCGGAGTGCCTGTCCCTGGGGAGGCCGCAGAAGAGTCAGCCACCGAAGCCCCCCCGACCGACGCTGGCGGAGGCGAGGGAGTTGCAGGGGTAGCCGACGAGGAAGGCAGGGCACCAGGGCTCTTGGTCTGCAAAGAAGACCTGAGTTTCAGAAAGGGGCCCGGGGGGGGGGGGGCGGGACGCCGCACAAATTGAGACTAGCGGCAGGCGCTGCTCCACTAAGCCTTGTTGCTCCGTCGTGAGGCCGAGTGCGGCCAAGCACATTGCTGAATCTATTTCCAGCGCTAGTGCCTAGGAGCATGAGTCGTAGATTTCGTTCATGGCTTCTGAATATGAGACCGTCACGCAACACCTCCACTATGCTCAGGCTAGCAGCACCCGCGTTGGCAGGGAGTTTCGGCTTCTCGGGCTTGGCTTTCTCCTGCTTGGTCTTCTCCCCGGCTTTCTTGCCCATTGCACAGTCCAGGCTACTATGGATATCAGATCCTCATGAATCTCAAATGCAACCTGCAATGAAAGCACAGTTTGTTGCAGGACAATCTGTACACAGCAGCAATAGACAAGGCAAGGCATCCGAGCACGGCGGCGGTTGTTGTGTGGGGTTTCCCAAACCTGAAAACACAGTTTTCCCCGACACCCTATGTGTTGCAACACAACACAGTGCTGATCACCCTTTTTATGCGTGTTAATGCTAACAGACAATGCATGTGAGAGAATGTTCGTTCGTTTATTTTATAATTCCGCAAACTTCGAAGCACAGTTTGCCCCAGTAGACGGTATATGTTGCAACACAACACAGAGCTGATCAAAGGAATCATGTGCAAAAAAACACAGCAGGAAGCACGAAAAAAAAACAAAAAAAAAACATGTAAAAGTTTGTTAAAATTATGTTAAAAATGCTGTTCCGGATGAAAGTACAGTTGGTCCCCCAAAGCACAGTTTACCCCCACGGGTTTACGCATATTTACGCGGATTTACGCTTATTTACGCTTTTTTTGTCGGCTGTTTTTTTGGTGTTGGTTTCTGTTTTTTTTTGTTTTTGTGGTTGTGGTTGTTGTTGTTTATGTTTTGTTTGAGTTTGTTGCAAGTTGTGTTGGTATAGTGTTGTGTGTTTACTGTTTTTGTACATGTCCTGTGTGCTAGTTTTGGTGTTACGCACATGTGTTTGCGTTTGACTCCTTTCTTGTCACACAACCTTAAGGTTCTGATGGCTTCTACTATGGAATCTGTGCATCAACGGTTGCACGGAAGCAGCATCGGTATTCTGCAGCAGGCAACAAGCATGACTGTGCATGCAACAACTTCAATTCGTTTAGTTTGGCCGACGACCCTTTCGCCGTGCAGGCTTTCCCCAGCCTATAAGCAGCAGTTTGAGGGACTACATGTAGGATTCTATGGAAAATCCGCAGGCCATGCCGCGGGCAGCTGCAAGCGGCCCGATGCTTTCATCCACCGAACGACCGCAAGTAGCTCAGCCTGGGATACTTGCACCCTCGACAGAGCTGGGTTGATAAGGAGGTTGGGCTAGGTTAGAGCTAGGAGCCTGTTCCATCCAATCAATGGGAGCCGACATCAGCAAGGCAATGTTGGCTTGTTCGTCGTAATCGGCTTCTCCATTCTCGAACATGCTAGGCAGCCCGTGTTGCTGCAAAGTGCGGCAAGCAGCGCATGCCTTGCTGGGATACAGAGGCTTCATCAAGGATAGAAACCCAGGGTCCCAAGTAGAAGTAAATGTCCCCTTGCGAGTAAGATTGCCTTCCATCCACAGAATACAACAGTAAGCGTTCGACCCTGCGAGGCTCTCTATATCATAAGGCCTTGGGTTTGGGGTTGAAGGTTTGAGGCTTCGAAGGTTTATTATTAGGCAGCTGCAGGGTGTGACTTTAGTGGTGTATAGGCCGGGACGGCACCGCCGCGAGCTTTAAAGTTCAAGAATAAGGATATCGGAAGAGTTCAGGGTCCATGCAAACATATTCGATCCCCCGTTAGGAAGCCCGGTGTGCCCCCCAAACCGTGAACCTTGCACACAAACTTCAACCTCTCCACCCATTATGTCCTGTGAAAAAAACTACCCACTATATAGCCCCTATATATGCCCCTCACCCGATATACACCCCAAGGTCCAAAATCACCCCCCCCCCCAAACAAACACTCGAAACCCAGAAACCCTGAAGCCTATATACCCCCGCAATCTGAAATGTATCCCAGAACTTAAATCTTCCAAACACAAACCAGCTTAATCCAGAAGTGCTCGTGCTTGTTCCCATTCCCAACAAAGCCATGTCCTAAACCCTAAACCCCAAACCCCTAACCCCAAACCCTTATCCCCTAAACCCATAAACACCTAAACCCTTAGCTTTCAAACCCTAAACCCCTAAACATCCCTAAACCCTCAACCCTAAAACCCCAAACCCTAAACCCGTAATCCCCTAAACACCTAAACCCTAAAAAAACCCTAGCACCTATAAGGCGCCCAAAGTTGTGACGGGGCTCTCGGCTTTCAGAGCTTATAGTTCAGGGCTTATAAGAGCTTCACAGCCTGATGTTTGGGGTGTGGGGGTTCTAGGCTTCGGCATTGTACCTGGATAGAGTAATATAGCCTGCATGGAAGACGACAATCTTCAGATATTGCACCATGTTGCCATTCAGCATCGTCCTAGCTATGCAATGCATCTGGATGTAGAGGCGGGACCCTATTGAGTTGATTTCTATCTATCCTGCGGCCATGGATGTATCACGTGAACATGGAGGAACTGCAAATGCCAAACCAAAGACGCCTCGCCTCGCGTTGCTCATCATCGCAGCGCTCGGCCCACGTGTGGATGACGGCTTCGGCGAACTCCGGGCTGTATTCCCTGGAAGGGAAGGGCCGCTTTTTAAGAGGATTCTCCGTGGATGTGATTGACCAAAACAAGCGAATCCCGCACTCTTATAATTCACTCAAAGTTAGTTAACACCACTATTCTTTTCAGAATGCAAGACCTATACTACGCAAGGCGAACCTGAAGCTGCATCCCAGCGGCTGAGTGGCTCGCACCATTGATGGAATACCGGTGACCGTTGTCTTGCCAGCAGCCTGGGCAGCAGGTACGGGAGGGTCAGTCGGAGAGGATGATGTTCTTGGATTTAATCGAGGGATATGTCGTAGAGGTCTTTTCGCAGACTAGTGACATTCACACTTCTCTTGACGATCGCTTTCTTGACCTTTTTTTCCGCCTTGGAGACAGCCTTGCTCTGTTGTTGTTGCCAAAGCAGGCAACGTCTCGAAATAACCTGCCAGAGGGTCGAATCAGGATCCGGATTGTGACTTGCAGCGTAGAGTTGCATGACAGTCCTTGAAGCACAAATGGTTGGAGTATAGCCAGGTTGGTTTACGCGTCTCAGCTCCGAAGGCCGCCATGACGAGGCTGTATCGGTAAACCTCAGCTGTATACTAGCAGGATGTCAGTACGCCTTCAGTACGTGTAGAGGGACTTATCATTCCATTATTGTCTCCCGGAAACAGGAGCGGTCTCGCACATCTCCTTGAAGAGCCGGATAGAAGCTAAGCCGCCCGTGGTATGATGCTGCGGTTGTTCTAGCAGGTACGTCAAACCCATGGCGCGGGCCAGGTAGATGAACAGCACACTCCTGAACGCTTATCACCCGGGATCTGCAACACCACACAAGAACATCCCAAGACTAACACAATTCAGAGACACACCCCGTCCTAGTGCCCAATAAGTTGCCCATGCGAACCACCGGAGATGCCTGAAGGCCTTCGGGCAGCATGACACAGCGGCCCGTGACGGAGCTGCAGAGGAAGGAGAAGCTCGAACCTGAGTTACAGCAACGGGGCGGGCTTGGATTTAGTATTAAAAGGACATTGGGGGACATTCGGTCTTTGAAGCCTTCTTGGGCTTTATTTTAGTGGGTTTAGTGACAGTTACATTTGTTGCTTGTTTTTGTCAATGGGTTCTGAGCTGGCCTGCAGCGGACCCTTGCAGAACAGGATTGTAAGGATGGAAGCACTCTGGTATATAAAGCAGTCGTTCATATTCGATCCAGAGACAGTCTCTGCAGTGCACAATCCTGGTGCTACTATATGGAGCAGTACCCACGATTTAGGGTTGTAGGGTTTGGGGTTTATGGTTCCCGATCCAGAGACAGTCTCTGCAGTGCACAATCCTGCTGCTACTATATGGAGCAGTACCCACGATTTAGGGTTGTAGGGTTTGGGGTTTATGGTTCCGGGCTTTTGGGGTTTCATATACTATTTTGACGGTTCCTTCCTATAAGCAAAGTATATTTTTCAAAACCTTATTCTAATTATTAGGCCCCTACATAATTAGGGCTTATATAGGGTTGAAAGAGTTAGGGTTTAGGGTTGTTGGGGAGGGTCTTATTTTGTCCCGCTGTCCGAAACCGCAAACCTGGAACCGATCAACCCCCGAAGCAGTTCCCTCCCATTGTCTATCGCAGTCCGATATCTCCGACTAGCTACAAACCCGGGAACCAGGAAGGCTGCCCTGAAACAAGCCCAACAACGACCAAAGCAACGGTGTCTCCTATGTATGCGCCAGGACGGCCTAGAGAAAGACAAGGCGTGCAGCACGAGGAGACATCATATCGGACAAGCTTGACGTGTGTCTGTGTATGTCTGTATAGAAGCAGCGTGAATTCACGCCCTATGTAATTCATGAAGAGTTCAAGAAGCAGTACGTGTACGGCCGGCACCGCATAGAGCCAGACGGGGCAAAGTTACATCATGCTCACTAAAGTGGTAATCTTGATGTGTAGTGGTTCTTCCGGTTCCTGCATGGGTCGTCGTTAATGCAGAAGCAATATTCGATCAGATCGATTGTGGCAGCTCCTGCGGCAGAGCACGCGAACATGCAAACCGTGCATATATAGGCTGGCCCCTCCGAAACGCAGAGTATACTTAGAAACATAAAACCATGCATGCAAACATGCCCAATATATATGTCGGAGTTGAATTCGATCTCAATCATCACATCTCAGATCGTTGCCCCATGCATGTGTGTCCGATCGGTGAAGTGCGGGTCAATTTTTCGACGTTCAGCCGCATAGGGGTTGAATCCTGGCAACAATTGAATCACGTCGTCGTCTTCTTACAGATTGCGGCACCGGCCAGGGCGATCAAGGGTTGCATCAGCGCAAAGTAGCTATAGCGGTACTTGTTGGGCCAGCGTAGTTGGGGCACAGAGTGGTAGTGGGATGCCTACATGCCGGAGGCCGCATCATCGTTGAGGCTTATTTGTACCCACCCAGACAAAATCATGGAAGGGTTACGCGAACAGCAACTCTAAAAACCGACTCTTCAGAAGGAGCCACCTAATAGGAGCAGATTTGAAACCTGCACTGTAGCAACACTTGCAATCTTGCCACCCGCTTCTCCCTATACAAAGACTCCAATGCTCCAAGCCCGACACTAGGAGATAGAGTGGTATTCCTTTTGCCGTCACCGATCATGGTTGGAGGAGCTGGCGTGCTCGACTATTGAAGGCCCACGGCTCTCTATCTCTGCACACATTGGAGGATCCAAGCGACACTGATTTTTATAGTTCCGTGGCAAACCCGAGATCCGTCGACCCTGTTTCAGTATGTGATGGCATCGCAATACCGAAGCTTAAAGACCGTGCCCTATATAGCAGAGCCTGCACTTCTTAAAACCGAATGCCTGTCGGAGGCCTCGAGCTCACCTAGGGTTTCCATATAAAGCTTCAGGGAAAACACCTCAATCTTAACTTAAATCTAGTGTGCGTCGTAAAATATTATCAGCTACGCACCTGACCATGAATCCCAAACCTCAAGCTTGAAGACCGTGCTTAAGACGCACTAAAGTATATCTAGCGGGAGGCCTGCTGCTCAGTGCTTGAGACGAAGCACCGCATGGTGGACCCTCCATGCAAGCTTTTTCCCATACTACCCAATTCTAAATTCGTACAAACCCCTCGAACCTTAATTGTGGTTTCTAGAGTAGAAGGAAGAAGCAGTGAATATCTTTCCAACAAGAGGACACCGGCAACCTCTGGAATCAAGACGCTTCACCTAAGAAGCAGACAAGAGGCAAACAGGAGCCATCACGCAAAGGCCTCCAACCCGAAGCCTCCTGATATACAGGAGGGCCAACCTGGATGGCAGACAGCGGATTCAAGGCAAAGGAGACACCTATGTGAGAACTGATTGCAGAATAATCGTGCTGCCTGGCTTCAGAAACCCCCATGGTTTGGAGATATCGTTCGTCTCGGAGTACGCATTGTCCAGTTTGCGGGCCCTATATCCTCGTTGCTGCGCGGCGTCGTGGATCGCCTCGTGGCCGGGGGGGGGGCTACGTGGGCGAGTGCTTCTGGGTTGCTGGTTTGTTTCAGTCCATGCAGTACAGCAGGAAGCATGGGATTGTTCATGCGCCGTGTGGCACCAATGCCAGCGAAGATCTCCAGCACGTCCAGATCCCCAAGAGTCTTGTCCTGGGACAGACAGGTATTATCACGCTTAGGACGTGTGTCATTTGTGCATATATTGCTGTTATTGTTTTTGCTGCGCTGCAAACAAGAAGCGAAGTCGCTCATGTAGCTCATGAGGAAAAGGATGGCAATCAGAGCACGAGGTGTGCCGGCATCCAGAAGCTTCTGCACATATGGTCTCGCCGCCATGTCTTTGGAAACACGGCACTGGACCGCCGATGTCACGACACAGACGCAGCACTACACTAAATTTTCGGAAGAGGCCAACAATTCAGATGCCCCCAGAACTTGCGGCAACGTTCCTATAGACCATCAGTTGCACCATGATCGACACAAGACCCTACAGAAGATGAGATTATTTCTGCACGCGGAACCCATGATAAGTTATTCTTGGTCCATGCATGACAGCCATTATTGGACTTGCACTTCGGATACCACCATCATCAGGCATGCATCGCAAATTTGTTTCTTCTCCCTGCAGGCTCCCCTGTGGCAGGAAAATTAAGGGAAACAACAGCTGAAACAACAGGGATGATGAGAGACCCTGTTGCGCCAAGCAGAAAATGTGTGGCATGACATGTGACCGCTGCCTTTCAGTAGAAGGTATCTCCCGGCAACAGGTTCCATGCTACATTACATCCCTGCTACAAGCATCCAACATGTTGGTACGGTGGCCGATCTTCTGTGCAGGCACAAGACGCTCAATTATAACGGCGGCGCTTGCGCTCGTCCTCCGGAATGGATTCCATTAGCACCCTGGGCCAATGCTTGTCAGATCGTGCGTGAACATGCATATATCCTGTCATGTCATGTGTACAGGTTATATGGCCAAGATTCGCCCTGATCGTTGAATGCCGCCACAGTCTCACAGCCTCCTGAGGAACAGTGCATGGGAATCTGTGGGGGCAGTATCTGCAGACAAGGGCAACGCGAGTACAGAAGGATGGCGAGATTTTGTCAACTCAACGCTAGAATCTATGGTCGCATGCAGCAAAGGAACCATGTGTTTGATGCCTTTGGACCTCGCTTTCCTGCAGGACAGCGAGGAATCACAAACACCCTTTGAAGATCAAGCACCAAAATTGGATCTCGATAAGAACGCACCAAGCCGAAGACAAGGGGCTCGAGGAAGGCCATGTAGACAGTGTAGACCGGGCCGTTGTGCTGATTGTAGGTTCGCTTCGGCGGCTGCTGCTGTGTCGCAGCTTCCTGGGCAGCGAAGTGATGAGATGCATAAACTGAGGACATGGTCAGTACTGTGTGTGTGGCACATGCAAAAGCCGTCATCCTCGGCCTCATCTACTCCCCCTGCCTCGCCATCTTGCTCGTTTCCATGCTGTTCTTCTTCCGGGTCTTCCTGGGGTGGCAGCTGGCCATCTGCCTAAGCTGTCGTATTAAGGCAAGAAGATGTGCACATAGGCGGCACCTCATGCCAGGCAGACAAAACATGACATAGGCCAGGATACACTTGCCATTGGCGGTGGATCCACCGGCTCTTCATCGTCACCTGTTGCAGCGGTTGTTCCCACTTCGGTTTGGTTATTGGGCAATCCTGCGCAGGATGGGCTTGGAAGAAATACTGTGTAGATCATCTACTGCTGTGCATCCCCTCCCACGTCAGCACTTATCTCCGAGCTCCCGCCTGGAGGCAGAGGAGCTGAGCAAAGCACACCGCCTTCGCCAATGCTCCATTGGCCTTCCATCTCTGTCTTTCTCTCTCAATTGAATCGAACATCAGTCGAACACGCAATGCCTTGGTTTTGCTTCCAAATGACAAGCTCTGTCGGACTTCTGCCGGGGGTCACATTGCATGAAATTTTCTAGTCCTCGGGATCAAGAGGAGCCCAAAAGCACAACACGTTCTACGTTCGTGGGACAGCTAGTTCGGTAGTTGCGGGATTCACGAGAAGCTGGGACGACCTCACATGAGCTCGAATTCCTCCTCGCACGTCACAGGACTCTGCTGGCATAGGGCCGCTGCTTAATCCAGAGTGTCCAAGCTAATATCTGTAGTCTGGGGCCCCAGATCACCGACATCATGAGGAGCAGAATGCGAGTGAAGCAAATCTAGGCGTTGGTGGACGTCGGTGAAGGACTCCACCAAGTCCTCCTCAAAGGACTCCAAACGTGAACGCAGTGAGCACACTTCGCTCGATAATCTATCCAGCTGCGAGCGCAATCTCGGGAACTCGGAAGATAAAATATTGAGCTGTTCTACTGCTGTAGTGACGACGACCCAGAGCGCACTAAGCTTCTCAGCTTCCGTTCCGTAAGCGGCGGGGATCTCTGCACAGGCCATCTACCGACAACTGATGCTCGAGCTGTGACTTCTTGGAAGGAACATGTCAAAGTACTCCCGATCTCTCATGGCAGACGCACGCACACGGCACAACAACAAGTTTCTCCTGGCGCTTGCCTCTCTCTATATCTCTATCCAAAAAACATCTCTCTCGCTCTCTCTCTCTCTCTCTCTCTCTCTCTCTCTTTCGCTCGTTATATTATATAGATACGTAGTGATACAACATATAGATGGGATGTTTCTCTCGACATATTGCCAAATCCAGCAATCAAATGTAAACAACGCACCCTATCTCAGGAACACAGCGACCCAGCTTTACCAGAAAGACACCATGCCGCCATGCCTGTGACACTGCTTGCAGGCTTGCAGGCAAATTGCATGTGAAACAGATAGCTTTACTTGACATGCTTCGAAGACCAGAATGCTAAATCAAAGGCGTTCTGATCAAGCCACATGCGAACAGAAGTAGCAACGGCATGCATAACAATAAGGCCTCCCTTGTGAGATCATGCTTGCCACTTGCACAGATTCCCGTGAAAGGAAGCTGACTGCATCCCCCCAGCAGACACGTTAGCTCATTGTCCTGCTGTCATACGCTCCGGGCAGAGCGCGTTGGCTCAAAGAGGGATGCTTCGCAGCACAGCAAGACATGATCGGCCCCAGACCCGGCCAGAGTCTGTGCGGGGTGGCATTTAAAGAGCCCGTGCCATGCCTCCGCTAGGTCAAGCCAATATTTACGGCAGAGCAGACCCTGCACAGCCACACGCACGACACTTCGTGAACACTCCTTTGCAAAGCGACGCTCGCACGCACGCCCCCCACACACACACACAGATACAATACTAGAACGTCTGCATGCAGGCCACCGGTGCACCACCCTAACCAACCCGGAATTGATAAGTGTGAAGAACATCGTAGCAAGCAACACGGCTTATAGAAACATGCTGGCTGGCAACGGCCTGCGGCTCCATCCGACTCGGAGGCTGCGGAGCTCGCCAACGGAACTCCTGCCCGGACGTCTTGCGTACTACATCAATCGTGGGATGAAGGCGTGCCCACAATATCGCAGAACATGTGATGATTTAAACTCCTTCAGGGCCAGGTGCCGGCGCAACCATCGGTTCCTCCGAAGGCCCCAGAGTCTCGTCAGCCGCTCCTCCCAGAGAAACTTATTCTTGGCACACCCTATAATTAAGAGAAGGACACACAAGCGATCGTCACACTCTCTGTGCCTGGTTTTCGGAGATTCAACACGACCTCCTTGAAGTGTTTTTTCTGTTGCAACCGATAATCAAGCCAGGGCGGATGTAGATGAATGGCCCCGAGGACAGCCCCCAAACAGCTAGGCGGAGGACCATCTGGAATAGTACCTTTCAGTCCTGGAAAGAACGGCAGTGTCTCCATCTCATCCGGATTCACTACAGGCGGTGGGACTCCTTGCGTGCGACATGATATCCAAGTACACATGATGACACCTACAATCTCAGACCACGTCCTGCTGGAAGTGCTGCCGGCGCTGCTTCTTCTTCTTGTACTCCCTCGAGTGACGTACCACTATTGTCGCGCTCGAATTTCTTCTTCAGCAAAACATCACCGCATGCGTCCTGGCGCTGTGCATGTACCATGTGAATGCACACATGCATATGCACATGCACGTCGTATGTGTGTATATAGACAGATACATACATATATACTATACAAGCCTATACAGCTCGCTTCGAACCTGATGTCCTTCAAGCGTTTCATCCAATCTTTGCGAGCATTTTTACTCTTCTTCGTCTCACGGATCACAGCCAGGGCCTCAATATTAAGGGGATGCAGCTTTCGAGTTTCGAGCTCATCGCTTCTGGCGCAGAAGCAACCCTAACAACCTCAGGTGCCACTGAGTTACCATGGACTTCAACAGGCCTGCTTGTGTGTGCGCCAAATCTGCTTTGAGATTCTTCTCCTGGACTTCGAACAGACAATCGAGAAAAGAAACAATTCTGAAACTGCCTATAATGCAAACAGATATGAACCCAGCCATCTCTCTCGAAGCAGCCAAAGGTCGTAGACAGAAGCCAGGCATCCCTCGATATTTTCAACAGAGAGCATCTGTCCAAAGCACGTGGCCACTTTCAATAGCCTCAGCTTTAAATTGGTATTCTAAAATTTAGACCGCCATATCGTGAATTATGTTTTGGATAGACGCGACTTGATCACCTTCTCATTCGCAAAGAGGATTTTATTCCGTGTCTCCGCATCCATCGAATCCAGATAGTCGTGCCGCAGGTCGTCGGCAAGCTCGATATCCAGAAAACGCTCCTGCGGAGCGCTCGTCAAACACAAACTATATACACGAAAATAACGTAACCATGCACGCAGTACGAGAGAATATTAACACTGTCCTGCGGAATGTTCGGACGGTCCGCCGCAAACGAATCCACAAGCTCACGCGCATGCAGCGAGGAAGCAAAACCATTGCTTTTCGACCGCACCATGGCCCGTTCCGTTACGGGCGCATGACCACACCACGTACCAGCACTACGGCAGCGGAGACAGACCGCAGCACTTTTGCAATCAACCTAGGAACGAACACCCCAGAGCTGAATCGGAGCTGGTCTGAATCATGCGTGAAGCTGCCGGTGGCAGAATCATTGCAAAGCCGCGCACTCAGCGCATGTCGGAAACATAGCCCTCTCAATAAGCGGGGGGATGTGGTTCAGACCGCCTATATATCGAACTTCTTATTACTGGATTTCGCAGTCGCCAGCCTGTTGTGTGACAGATACAGAAACAAAACACGCGCAAATCACAGGCAAACAGCAGTTCCCAAACAAAAAAAAAGATTCACTGTCTCGTTTCCATATTTTTCGATGTCTAAGTACACTTTCTACATATGAAAACACAGTTTGCCCCGCTAAGGACACTTTTCCCAAAGAGCAAAACCCGCATAGCGCTGTTTTTGGCCCAAAGGACAAAATCGACCCAAAGGACTGTTTTCACCAAAGGACAGGCATGCAGGTTTGCTGCAGAAGCAGCTGGTGCTGAAAGGCTTTGAGCTGCTGTCACGGCTGCAGGAAGGCTGTGCAGCTGGGTCTGTCGGGGCTGCAGGGAGCAGTGTCTGCGGTGTCAGGGTAGGAGCCACAGGCACCAGAAACAGCTGGCTGAGCTGCAAAAGGCACGGTGGGTGGTGCTGGAGGCACCAGCGAAGCAGGTGCTGTCACAGTGGCACAGGCAGTTGCAGGAAGCACGGGCTGCGGTGCTGTGGCACCAGGCACCACGGCCGGAGCAGGTCGGGCTCCAGAAACAGCTGGTAGCGTCAGAGCAGCTGCTGTGTGCAGGGAGGCAGGAAGCACGGTTTCTGGTCCCGGTGCTTGTGAGGCTGCAGGAGAGGCTGCTGTGCTGGCTGCAGGGGAGGCTGCTGTGCTGGCTACAGAAAGCACGGTCTGCGGTGCTTGTACACGGGGGCTGCAGGAGGCACTGCCACGGCTGGACCAGGTGCAAGGCTGGACGGAGCGGGTGCTGTCACGGTTGCAGCAAGGGTCTGTGGAGCGGCTGCACAAGGCACCGCCACGGTTGGAGCAGGTGCCGTCAGGGCAGGAGAAGCAGCTGGTGTTCCGGTCTGAGACGGTGCTGCGGGTGCTGCGTGGCCAGCAGCTGCAGTCGGCACCGTGGGTTCGGCAACACTGTGAGCAGGCTGTGCATTGGTCGGTGCAGGCTCTGCGGGAGCCACGGCGGGTGCGAGAGCATTCCTTGGTGCACGAGCTGACGAGCGAGCAACCGAACTAGACACACGACATAAGTGCTGCAAAGCTTCAACCTTGCTTGCACGTTGTGCTGCACGTGAGGCGAGAGGGATATCGACTGCAGCAGCAATCGATCCCATGCGGAAACTTCCTCAGCCTCAGATGCATCGAACATGTGTTGCACACAACATGCCTGGGCAAACACATGCAGAAACATCTTGCAGACACAACACCGAAGGATTCTTCGTCTTCATCTCCTTTTTCTTCTTGGGTGCCATGGTTGGCCGATCGTTGACCACACTTGATGCACGAGCACAACTGCGGACCGGATGGTCGGATGCGAGCTCATGCAATCTATGCAAGCGTGCACAGTATTTGCGAGATGTCAAGTACTTTGTTCACTGCAGCATACACTGTGTGTTGTTCGTGTGTGACACTTGCATGCATCGACACGGTTCTGGTCTCCTCGCTTTTAAACACATGCAGAAACTCCGATGTTTTTTCAGGTTGGTCGGTGCTAATGGGTTGGTTCTCGTATCAGGATTGGCCCGAGAATTGTTCATGCTGCAGTCACCCACAATTGTGTATGTTGCTGTTGGATTTGTGTGTTTTTCCATTCACAATTAACAATGGTTTGCTCGCTCTCAGTGCCGCGGATGTGCTTAAGAGATGTTTTCTGGAGCAGGCAGCATGAGGATTGTCACCGGTCACTTTTTGTGGTTGTGGTTGCCCACGAATGATCGTCACTGCTCGTGGCTGGTTGTTTTCGGTCCAGAAACACATATGTTTTTTTGTTTTTTTTTCGTTGCGGTTTTCATGTTTTTTTTATCGATGTTGGCCGTTCCTGGATCATTGTGACCGGTCACTTTTTGTTGTGTGGTTTTGACGCATTTTGACGCTTTTTCCC